CAAATTATTTATTAATTTTCTAATAAGCTATGAAAAATCTGCTCCATGTCCTGTCTTCATACATCATTCCCTGACTCAACTTCATCTAACCACTCAGACTTTTCAAAACCTTACATAAAAGAACAGGCTGTTTCTCACTCGCTAAATATAGTTCATCTGCACAAAGCTGGCTGTTGTTGATAGAACAGGTAGGATAAAATTAAGTATATAAGAATTTTTAAGCACAGGATGCAGTATATATGCTGCAATGAGAAAGTAGTGATTTCAATTTCCTAGACCATACTGCTGGGAAGTTTAATTACATCAAATTATGTAATCTACTCATGTCATCGTGGAGGTATAGCAAATGCCTAACTCTCACTATGGAAAATTCTGAACTCTGTGAATGCTAATGTGGAAAGAATCCTCACAGATAGCATGTCACAGTCTAAAATTGAAATAGCTTACATGCTTTGTTAGTTTACAGGTCCCTTTGCTTCCCTTCAGCAGAGGTCTAACTCTGGGTCTCTATTGACTAGTTTTCTTTTTTTTTTATTTTTTTATTTTTTTATTTATTAGAGAGAGAGAGAGAGAGAGAGAGAGAGAGAGAGAGAGAGAGAAAGAGAGAGAGAGAGAGAGAGAGAGGTGTGTGGCCAGCTCAGCCCACCAGGGGGCGGGCTGGCTGGCATGTGGTGCTGGGGGATTGAACTGCGGTCCCCAATGCTTTGCCAAGCTTGTTCTAAGCAGGTGCTTTAGACCACTGAGCCATCTCTCCAGCCCTATTGACTAGTTTTCAATGATGCAACTTAATAGTATTATTTCACTGATCTGCTAAATGTCAAGATCACACTCTGTTATTGTGAATGAGATGATCAACATGGAAAACAAAAATTCCTGCATCCAGGCTCAACCCTTGTGTGTATTTTCACTGTGTGCATTTAGATAATGAATACAATAGCAAAGATCAAGTGGAAGAATAAGAACAGGCACTCTACTGCAGTGTATGAATCAAAATAAAAATAAAATGGTTCTGTAGCTCCAAACTCAAAGAGAACATGATATGGCTGTGAGTAAAGGCTGCGTTGATTTGAATTAGTCAACTTCTTCAATGTGTGTATATGTGCATACATGCAAAACTATAGCCCCCTGAGCAGACGGAAGTCAAGCCCACACTGTGCATTCAGCCATCAGCGATCATATGCTGCATATTTTAAGAAGTTAGAAATGAGGAGGATCCTACAAAGTTAAAAACTGTAGACATAAAAATGAATCTATGATTTACCACAGCAGTTGATGATGGACTAAAATAGTCAATAGTTTCCTCTGCCAAATCACCACCGTGGGCAGCTAACTTGCCTTTCCTGTGATGAGGAGATGATTCATAGGCCATGGAGAACAGGATTGCAAGTCCCCAAAGTACCGGCCACCCTTCACTTTGATCTCCAACAAGGTCAGATTTTACACACATAATATGTCTTTAGCTAGTCCCTAGAGTTACTTTCTTTTTGAAACCATTTTCCATATACTTGTCATTAAACTACTATGTTCATGTGAAGTCTAATTATACTTGCGTGACTGCATCCCTTCAAAGCAAACACTTCTTGTTATGAATAATGTTATTAACAGTTTATTTTTATGGGTTTGGCTAACTCATCTTCATTAATGGTATGAATCTAAAAGTGTAAAAATATCTGTATATTTGGGGTATAGATTCAGAAGCATCTACTGTACATGAAAAGATTTTATTGGTAGGATTTGGAAGCTGCCAGAAGAAAAAACTCAGTGGATGTCATCTCAATGGATCTGATTGGGAAAAAATGTAGATGAGACTTTATGTCTGGGCTATTTTTTCCTGAAAGGGTACAGTGAATACCAGAATTGTTGTGTAGCTCTCATGGAATGGGTGATTGTAGGTGTGCAGAAGATCACAGTTCAGAAAATTCAACAGATAACCTTTGAGCACCAGCTCTGAGGCCCCCAGGTTAGGCCCGTGAGCATGACACAGACTTGAACCGGATGAGTCCTTGTGAGAAAAGTCATTAACATTTTCCAATGGAGTAATTAATCCAGTGGCATTCAGTGAATTGTGAAGGAATGCAGATTAGAGACAATGAACTCACAATGACAGCATGGAAGATTTTGGACAGGAAGGTTTTAAACTGCTTTGAAAGCATTTTGAAGGAAGACTAGTTCACCAGGGAAACAAGAGGAAAAAGGGCATTTCAGCAAATGGTACAGCAAAAATAACTTCGGTTTTGTATAACTAGAAAAGAAATTGTGAAAAAGTAAGTAATAGGGAATTAGGCTGAGCTAGGATATGAAGACTGCAATGTGGGATAGTGTTTGTCTTTAAATTTGACAGTAAATGGCTGGGACAGTGTTCTAAAATGTTAATATTCTTCTTCCTTCTTCCTTTTTCTTTTTTCTTGCTTGAGTAATAAGTTATTGTTCAAAAATCTATGATGACTTGGGATACAGCTCAGTAGAATAAGCACTAGACTGGCAAGCGCAAGGCCCTGAGTTCAATCCCTGGTACCACTAAATAAATAAATAAATAAATAAATAAATACTGGAAGAAAAATCTATTATGGCTTCACACATGCAGAACTTATTAAATCTCTATAGTTACCATGGTCTTAAGGCACTATCTATGCATATATGAAAGAATGAGCTTGGAAAACAGCTGCTCTTTACCATGCAACACATAAGAGATACTCGGAAAACCAAGAATATGGTTCTTTAAGAACCGATCAGGTCTCCTTTCTTCCCGGCTTCTCAAAATCACTGTACATTGCTGCTACCCTAGTCTTACTCTCCGTGGGTGATCTCTTTCATCTTTTAGTCATTCTTGTAATTAGTAAATTTATTAAAGAATTGAGTTCACATATATACATATAGTGTTACACTGTACATGTATGAATGAGTATGTGTCTTTGTTCTTCCAGTCTTTACCCTCTTAAGATCCTTGAAGAAAGGAACTGTTAAATTTCTGTATTTCTCCTGATTACATGGATGTGATTTATAAAATGGTATATAGAAATGATTGACAAATTTGATTAAATTATGAATTATGCTCTAAATGTATAAAAGAAAGAAAAATAAAAAATGTATAATATTTGTTTTAATATGTGGTATTATGTTATATGTAATGATAAAATGAGAGGAATAGATAAATTTAGATTCAGAGTTATGGTAAAGTTATTGAGGAAAAGGTAAAAAATCTAACCCTAGCAAGAGAAGAAGAGACTTGTAAGGCAGAAATAAATGCAAAAATGATTCTATATAATGAAACTTCCCTAAAAATATGTCACTTTACAACAAGAGTAAGTTGCTTTTTGTAAATGAAGAGCAGGCTCTTTGATTCTACGTAAAGAATGTTTTGGTCTGTGTTAGACATTATTTGTTGCAACAACAAAGTATTTGCAGAGGTTTAACTAACACACAGTTTTGGGGTGTATTTGCATACACAGTTCTGGGCCTGGCCTCTAGCAGGGGCTACACTGGCATGGAGAAGAGCCATGCTTTCACCTGTGACTTGAGCACAGGGAAACCAATCTCATGAAGTACATCAACTAAGAACAAGGTTTCTGGGTGGAAACCACTGTGGAGTGGAAGGGGCGATCAGCGCGATTCTGAGCTGTGCCAGGAGATGCGGGAAGGAGAGGAAAGGAAGGTAGTGAGGGAAGTTATGGCAGGCATGAAAATTCATGACGTGGAACTCCTAGAACACTGACCAGGATGATGAGAGAAAAGGTGTAGAGGACTCAGCTTCCTGCTTCCTGTGGAAGACACTACTACTCCTTACAGTATGGAGGCTGCTTCCCAAAAGCCCTTCTATTCATGTTACTTTCATAATAATTACAACAGTTTAATACATAAACCTTGGAATCATCTTCCCAATTTTATATATTTACATCATTACACGCACATATATATATTATATATATAACGTAGCTCTATCAAACCAATTTTGCTTCCTAGGAGAATGTTTTTTTGTCTCTGAAATATATATTTGGCATCTTCCAAGGGAAGTCTTCCTGTTTTGATTATAGTCATGACACCACTTTTATGTCCATCTGTGTGTGATGCACAGCAAGGTATTAGCCATGTTTCAAACAACGAATTAGTCACAACTGACTGACAGGCCATGTTCTGATACTTTTTCAACATAAGGGCATTAAAATATTTGTAAATAATTTATTTTTATTTTTTCAAAAGAAATGTAAATATACCTTTTGTTATTTTTACGCATATGTACCCTGGTGTCTAAAATGCTAATAATGGATATAGTTACTGTGTAATACTGTATTAGAATTATAAAATCTAATAGAAGGGTTTTATATATTTCACTCTTAAATCATTAGGTAATTTGTTTGCTATTATATAATGCTTTGTATATCTTTAAATCTCTCACTAAATATATACATATATTCTTTCTTCCTTTCTTCCTTCCATTTCTCTGATCCGCTTCCATTGATGACTCTATCCTTTTGACTCCAGACTGGCAGTATGAGGGTAAGATGGCAAATATAAAAATCTCAAGCAATCTCATGAATATTGCTTGTCTGTCTTTGTTTTATTCTTTTTAAGAACATTATTAAAATTCTATTCACTCTCTTTAATGAGACCCTTTTATCACAATTAAAGTCCAATTATGTTTGTTTCTGTTGTGAACCTTGAATCACAATTTATTGTTGTTAATCATCCCTTTATGTTATTTCTCTTGGTTAAATCATCATCCCATTTTCTCTGTCCGGAAGGACTTCTCCCCAGTGATCTCTGCTGACATTTTCTCAGTAATATTTTAATAGTTTTTTTTTATTGAACAAAGTGACTGTGTTATAAGGAGGCAAGGAATCTCTTGAATATTTTAATCAATCATTTACAATCTCATATATTAATTTGATTGTAGGATTTTTCTTTGTAAACATCAATCTGCATCTCAAAGCACTGACACGCATGGCGAGGACTTAAATGACTACAAATTCTTACTTTTGATTATTTTCTCTCCTTAGATTGCAAACTAGCTAGGGGAGGCCCACCAGCTACCATAGTTGCTATAGATGAAGAGAGTCGGAATGGTGAGTGGACTTTCATTTTACCAATATTTTCTCTAAGAAGAAAGAATTTCTTAGAATTCCAATTCTTGATTGATTTGGTATGAGGAGAGACAGTACATGAAACTTTCAGCTACAATTCTTAAATAGTTCACCTTGAATTTCTCTGTTGTATTGGTTTAAATTATGTCATTTCTGGAAATAATTTATTTTGATTATGTTAGAAGAGATCTTTTTCAATGTATTAAAGTACTTCACTTTGATCGGAAAGGAGATATTGATGGGGCATCACAAGGCTGCATCCTGGGATTTATATGTTTTACTCTAACAAATCTATGTGGGTGCATAGATTTTATAATCACTAACAACATATTCCTCCAAAGAAATGGCCTACAAGGTAAGTCTTATGCTACCAATTTAAAGTGAGGTGAAATTTGGTAGAGATTGAGGTTCAGAACCAATTGAATGGCTAATGGTAATCTTTAATGTGGTTGAAAGACAAATGACAACAGGTCTGAATTCCTACTGATACTGTCTACAGAAATTAACAACTGGTGCCTGACTTATCCAGGTCTTTAAAAATACAATTTTGTTTATCAGAATAAAACATCAATATCATTTGCGATTTTATTCTTTAGCACACTTCTTACATCTTCAAATCTTCAGGTATGGATAAATTCTCTCCTCTATTGAGTAGCACTGAAATGGTTGTCTCTTGGGGTTCTGTTTCTGTCTCAAAGGATTCCAGATGGGAATATGGTCTGTGATTCATTCCATGTTCTACATTCCACATTGGACCTTCCCTTAGTTTACTTGCACTTTATCTCTATTCTACATTCCAGTCCTCAGCAGGCTGAGGAGGGAGGGTTGCTGTGAGTTTACGGCCAGCTGGGGCTACAAAGTGAGTTCAATGTCAGCCTTAAACCTATCTGAAAACTTATCTCAAAAAGATAAAAGAAAAATATATCATGCATTCTTCCATAAAAAATCAAGTGGCTCAGCATAAAAGCTTTACTTTTTATACTTTGTAGTTATACTTTTCTGCTAGATGGTTAAGACCAAGTTAAAGCAAGACCTATGTAACTAAAAATATAACTTTTTCATCTAACAGCATCAGCCAAATCCCCTCAGGATTTACCCTGAAACCATGTACAGCACCTTGTGGATCTTCTGTCAGTGTCAGCCATGTGGATGAGTCACGGCCATTACTTGACCAATTTGCTCTCTGTGAAATCCTGAGAGAATGTTTGCTCTCCATGTGACTCTCCTTAGGCACACTATGCATCATTGATCACTTTCTTCTGTGGCCTCATACTTTCCTTGATCAGAAAATTTGGGACACAACTGAGTTACAACATAGCTTCTCTTATGTCTGGAGTCCTCCCTGATCTTGAAGGGCTATGGCCAAAATATTGGCTATCCTTGTAGCCCCTCTTTTTCTCTAATTTTTTGTCTGAAAACTTAAGTTGTTAAACATCCAGAAGAGAAGCTTAATGATATTATTATCCTGTAACAGAGGCAGTTGAGCTTAACATAGGTCTCATGTCAACAACTTCAGGTAGTTGCCAGCTCTGCTGATAACTCGATGCTATTGTAGAATATGGACTATTTTGGGCTATTTTGCTGAATTCAAGTACCTACAGTACTTGAACTGGCATCAAGTATGAAAAGATCCTTTAAAGACTTCTCCAAATACAGCTTCTCTAACAATGGAACACCCATCTCTGACAAAACAAAACAAAAAAGGGGAATATAAATGAAGGACCATTTTGTAGTGAAAAAAAAATATATATGTATATGTGTATACAAAATAGGATAGAAACATAGCTACTTTCTCTTAGTTCAATGAGAAGAAAGGTCTGTATTAATATTGTTTAGATAAGAGATCATGTCTGCATCTTGTCCTCTGAATAACTACTACAAAGACAATAATATGCAAGGTATTAATTATTGCAACTGTCCTACTAACCTGTTTTGAAACTGTCTCATTGCTATTTGTCTCTCATTAAAACGAATTTTTAAAAATCAAGTGGCTCATAAAAATGACCATTTTTCTACAAATTAACCTATACATATTGAAAATATTTATAATGTGGGTAATATTTTTATCAATTCACTTTGTGATGCAGCTGTTCTGTTTCATTACAGACTCTTTTTACTGACTTTAGCACAATCCTCGAATGTCTTGTACATTCCTTATAACTAGTCAAGAGTGCAGCATTGCTAGATTTTATTGGAACTACCTTAAGAGTTTACATTAAATTTTTATAATATTAAATAATCACAAAATGTGAGGGTTTGGATTGTGTAATAATCTCTACTTGTACTAAGAGCATGTAGCATGAGAGTTACCATGTCCCATGTAAACAAACTGGAAAATAATCACTGAATTTATCTTCAAAAAGGAAAAAAAATAAAGTAAAATCATTATTCTTTTTTACAAGTAGACTTCCATTTTACTTACAGTTAACTAAGTTTATTCAGAATAAACCTTATTTTTAAAAAAAATGCTGTTCAATGGAGAATTCAACTTCTCAAATCAAAAACAAAGTCATTAAATATAATGGAAAGTCTATGTTTATTTTCTTTCTTTCTTTCTTTCTTTCTTTCTTTCTTTCTTTCTTTCTTTCTTTCTTTTTTTTTTTTTTTTGCAGTACCAGGGATAAAACTCAGGACCCCACACTTGCCAGGCAAATGCTTATTCTACTATGCTATCTCCCCAGCCCCTGTTTTCTCATTGTTAACCAGTTTCCTTGAAGACTAAAGCAGGGCTACAATAAGATATTTGGCTTTAATGAATAAATTTGTTTTAATGTGTTATTTTACATCAAGCTTTTCTTGCTAACCGGATAGTTATACCTCCAGTAATGGTGAAACTTTAACTTCCTTTTGTGCTGATTATGTACTACTTCTCAGAGGAGCTTGGGTATGCTACAAAAATGTTGCCTTGTCCGACTGTACAGAAGCATATGGGGGAAGTTCAGTATTTGTGCTGTAAAAGAATACAGCATGATACAATGTGGGAACACTTCGTCCCTTGCTTGACATGTGTTGTAGAAACCGGCAGCTTGTCAAAACGCTGCCAAAAGTTATTTGAGCGTCATCACAACGAGTAGATCTACTTAGGGGACAAATCCTTAGCATTTTATTCTTGTATCAATTTCAAGAAATTATGATGATCAAACAAAATTCTTCTAGCTATTATACTGTAGTGGTGAATCATGGTTGCCTTAAAAATCTAAAGGACACAATGGACAAAAATGTGCTTCGTGTGTTTCTTTCGACAATCTAAGATTCTCAATAAGACTGTTATTTCTAGTCAGACCTTAAACTGTCTTAATTTCTCATTTCCTTTTTCTTTTGATTAATAGTAATAAATTATGTGTTTATTTCATTTTTACTAGTATTGAAAAACACTCATTGCTAGAGCTTTGGTGGCTTTTATAAAGAAAAGCACAGAAAATCATTTGTTGAACCAAATAAATTTATTATGAAAAAAATTATTATGAAAAGGTTTTCGTTTGGCTCTCGTAATTGGTGTCTGTTTTGTAAACAGTCTCTGCTACTAATTACATGTTCTTCTAAAGTCTAGCATCTAGAGGCTGGGGAGATAGCTCAGTTGAATAAGCACTTGCCTGGCAAGTGCAAGATCCTGAGTTCAATTCCCAGTACCAGAAAATAAATAAATAAATAAAAATAAAGAAATAAAGTTTAGAATCTAAATAGCCATTGTTTTCTCTTTTTTTAAAAAAAAAAAATTATGCTTAAACTTCTCCAAAACAAGTCCCTGAACTATACTTATAGAAAGTTCATATTTGTCAGTACATCTGCCTCTTCTTGACTATTTTACTCAGTGGGATTGAAACCTTTTCATTCCTCCTTATGAATACACATGAAAAAACCTTTCCATGTATGCATGGGTCTTAAGAATTACGAGTTTAATAGGCAGTGCTCCATTCTCATCGTGGGCTCTGTTAGATTCCTCCGCTCCCTGATTTTGTCCTCAGTGGAATGCTGAGTGCAGATTGATTGCATCGTCCTTGATCTGGAGTGAGAGTACGTTTCCTTCACAAGTACAAGGCTACCAGCAAACTGAACTTACAGGGAGACAAACCAGACACACAGGGAGACGCGCTGATTCTTGATCTCACCCAGAAAGGTCTTGCACTAATAGGAAGAGGACATGTAATGTGCAATTATATTTTGATGGAAGAATGCTTACAGAGAAACAGAGAATATGCTATCTATAATTCATGCAGTTATAATGTCTTTAAAAAGCCTTTCTGGAAATACATTTTCAAGTTGCATAAGATTCTGAGCTTCTTATAGCACTGACTTCCTACTGGACAGAGAGAAAGGCGAGAGCTGTTACCCTGGTGCTGGTGAAGGATCAGATTCCACATACCTGCCAGGTCAGAGCTCGAGCTCCTTGGAAAGCCACCATAGAGTGAGCATTCAAAAAATCTTTTGAGTTCTTGGTTTATCCTGTTCTGAGAATCTGTACAATCATAGGCAAGTGTCTCAGTTAGTCTTCTCTCATTGCTGGGACAAATATCCAATACTCAAAATGGAGGAAGGAAAGGTCTATTTAGCTCACAGTTACTGGAGGTTTTAGTTCATACTCAGCTGGCTCCAAGGCAGAGCAGCACATGGCAGAGGGCAGCAGTTCATGGCTGTGGAAGGCAGCAAAACAGCAAGAGCAAAAGGAAGAGTAGCAACAATGGCTGCAGAGAGCAAGTCTGTCTCTCTTATGTTACATTCAGGCTATCCACCCCAGGCTGGGTGCAGCACTCAGACCCATAATCCCAGCAGTTCTCAGACCCATAATCCCAGAAGTACTCAGACCCATAATCCTGGTCTTGGATCATGAATTAATCACAAACTGTAGGACTGCTCCTCATTGACTGCATGAGGCTTTGGGGGGACAAATGCACACAAACCTTAACAGCAGTCTCGAGTCAAAAAGAAGAGTACAATGATGATTAGGGCAGCACTTTTGATTGCACAGAGTGAGTCCAGGGCAA